CCTGGTGCAGACAGAGCATTCTAAACACAGAGCTGCTGTGTCGCCGCACCCACCCCCACCACAATGGGACAAGGCCCTGATCCCAGAGACGCCTGGGTGTGACTCCCACACTCCAGGGCCCCAGGCTAGCGCAGGTCAGCAGGGGCTGCAAGGAGGCCCTGGGGTCCCTGGCTGCGCTGTGGAGGGGCCGCCAAGGACAGAGACTTGGGGCGCCCCTCCTGCCTCCTGCTCTGTCCACCCGTCTTCCAAGACTCTTGATGGAGCCCCACCCCCGCCCCGCAGCTCAGGAGCTCCCCCCAGCCCCCCGCAATACTATCCCCTTGAGCCACTGTGCTTTCCCCTGGTACCGCCGTGGCTCAGCCCTGACCCAGCTGCCCCCATGCACCCCGCCCCCGCCCCCCTATGCTCTTCAGCCAGCACAGGCTTCCGGAAACACACCCCTGGCCCTGCACTGCCACCTGTGCCCACGCCCAGCAGCTCTGCCGGGGCCCGGTGGAAGGCACAGGGCCATTGGTGGGCATCACAGCACTGTGCTTTTGCTCGGGCTGTCCCTTCATTGGTGTCCCTTCCCCCTCCTCACCTGCTGAACTCCTATTCATCCTTCAACACCCAACTCTGGTCATCCCTGGAAAGCCCGCCCACCTGGTGGTTGTCATCATGTCCCCAGTGCAGGTGTAGGAAGCAGTTTTCACAAGGTTGCTGAGTTGGCCATGCGGGTCTCTGGGGTCCCTCTGCCTGGCACACCACACTCCTGGTTTGGACTTGCGGGATCCAGCCTCAAGCATAGGGGGAGGCAGGACATTGTGGTGGGGGGAGCTGTTCCCCACTGGCCACGGCTCCATGTGGATGGGAAGCCTCGCTCGCCACGTGGTCCCACGAGAGTCATGAGGCCACTCGGCAAAGACTGACTGCTCCCTCGTGTGACGAGTCCAGGGCCAAGAACCAGCCATTCCTGCTTCCCAAGGGGCCGCCATGTCTCGCGCCACCCTGAATGAGGGTCGCACTCAGCTCTGTGGGCTCAGAGACGCCCCTCTGTGCTGGGGGACAGGAGCCTCCAATGTCTGTCAAGTACAGGAAAGGCGGCCCCTGTGGTGGAGAGCCGGGGTGTGGCCTCCCTGGGCTGTGACCCTGGGCAAGTCACTTGACCCCTCTGGTCCCCTGAAGACCAAAGAACATGAACCCTGCCAGCCTCTGGGGACATGGTGACACACTGCAGAGGTGACCAGGCTGCATCTGCCCACAGGTCGTGGGTCACCTCATTTCTGGCCCCCGTCAGTCCTTCGTCCCCTCTCAGGAGGGCCCTTGCCCAGACTCCGTCGCCTCCCCGGCACTATCTCCTGGTCTCTGAATGGAAATAAACCCAGAGCCACTCGTCTCCTCCTCTGCAGACGGAGCGACCTGGGTTTCACAAGGACAGTGTCCAGTGGCCCGAGTGGGAGAGGAGGAGCCTGGCCGGGATGTGTGCAGGGTGGGGTGTTCTCTTCTCCTTCCCCGGGGTCCCCATGCTGGGGCTGATGTGGCCTCACTCAAGCCTCAGGACAGTCACAGATGGGCGCTGTGCCCTCTCCCTCTGCCAGGTCTGCTGGGCTGCGTTGTCTCCCCTGCCAGGCCCAGGAGCAGGCCAGGTCGGCATGTGGGGTCCCGCCTCCCTGCTGCTGGCCGGTGCCCCGAGGTGACCTCTGCCGAGGAGGGTCCCGGATGCTGGCCGTGTGGACCCTGGGGAAGGGCCCCCATGACTCTCAGCTCCCGATACCCACAGCCCTGGCCCACCCTCAGGCTGGGCTCGCACACCTGAGGACCCCCCACTGTGGGCAGCCTGTCCCAGCTCTAGAAGTGCCCCTGCCACCTCCAGGAGGTGCCCGCAGAGCTCCCCATGCAGGTCCTCCTGGGGCTGCAGGAGCCCATGGCCCCCTCTTCCAGGGCAGAAAGGAGGGAGTGACTTCGCCTGCCCATCTCCTGGGGAAAGGCCCTGGCACTGTGGCTGCCATCACTGGGTGGCATGTCCTGGTCCCCCACCCAGGCACTGTCCTCTGCGTCCAGTCTGGGTGGCCCGGAATGAGCACAGTGCCCAGAGGTGGTAGCCTGCCTGGCTGTTGAATCCCTCCCTTAAGGGACATCCTCCCCAGACCTGTTGCTACATCCCCTCACCCCAACAAGCTGCCTGGGCCATTCCGACTGACCCACCCACAGCGTGGCTACCCGGGGCCTTTTCCCCATCCTGTAGGCCAGTCAGGGCTTATTTCCGCAGGCACAGAAGGCTTCCTGCATCCCCGGGCTCCTGGGCTGACAGAGGTGTGCAAGCTGGCCTGCTAGAGACAGGTGGGTTGTGTCCCACATGGAGACAGGTGGGGATGTCTCCCAGGTAGAGACAGGTGGAGTATGTCCCAGGTGGAGACGGGTGGGGTGTGTCCCAGGTAGGGAAGCAGCATGATGCCTGCAGCCCCATTTGAAGTCATGGCCACCCAGAGGTGGCAGGAGGGATGCTGGGCTGAGAGGTGGGGACTTTATCAGGAAGACCAGAGCCAGAGGATGGGCTGCCACAGCCCAGTCACTGGATACGGGGAGGGTAAGGCGAGCTGGGTGGTTGGGGGAAGGATGAATCCGCTATTCCAACTCAGGTGATAGTTGGAGCCCTAACACTCCCTGGGTTTCTGGGGCTAAGGCCTCAACTTTCCAACAAGGGGGAGGAGTGGTCACGCACGGAGTCACCAGCTCCTTCAGGAGCCAGGGCTGGGCTTGACTCCTCAGAGCCTTCCTGGTGGTTGCAAAGAGCCTTTGGTCAGCCCCTCGTCCAGCCTTGCTTGAATTCCCCCAGAGCCAGGAGACTTACTACCGAGCCACCTCCATCACTGCCATGGAGGCAGGAGGTGAGGCCCAGCGGGGCGGGCCGCATGGAGGGGTGGCAGGGGTGGAGAAGAGAAGCAGGAGGGTAGCAAAGCTGGGACCGTGGGAATGGGTAGTGGGAAGATGCCAGGCAGCAGGTTGGGCCCACCCTGTTTGCCCAGATAGACTCTTTCCAACTGACACCCCTGGATTCACGTCCTGGGGCTGCCGGAACAAAGCCCCACAAACTGGGGGCTTCAAACAGCAGGTATTGATTTTCCCAGTTCTGGAGGCCGGAAGTCGGAGATCAAGGTCTCAGCAGGACCTGCTGCCCCTGTGGGCTCTAGGGAGGGCCGGCCTTGCTCTCCAGCCCTGGTGGCTGCAGCAGTGTGGCGGTCCTGGTCTGGTGGCTGCACCACTCCACTCTCTGCCTCCGCTGTCCCTGGACCTTCTCCCTGCGTGTCTGTCTCTCCTTGTCTTATAAGGACAGCAGCCCTGTTGGAGGAAGGCCCACCCTTATCAAATATGACCTTATTTAACGTAATTAATTACATCTGCAGAAACCCTATTTCCAAATAAGATCCCTTTCTGAGGTTCCAGGAGAGACATGAATTTGGGGGGGACACAGTTCAGCCCAGTATACTGGCTAAAGACTTGGGGGCCTCCTGGGCTGGCCTTGGGGCAGGAGAGAGGCCTGGGCCCTGTGGGTGCAGCCCAGGGCACCCTCGGCAGGCTCTGCAGACGTTTGTGAACCCACCAAGAGGGAGATACATGATCGTTGCCCTTGAGGGACAGCCCTGACATAAGGTCCCTGGGGGGGGACATGAGTAGAAGTGGCGATGCCCTCGTCCTGCCTGGGGAAGTCGGGGGTCTCTTAGGGCCTTGGAGGTGAGGACGGACGTCTGTGGGCATCCACAGCTCTGGGCTGGGTCACAGTCTGCACTGTGGCCACCCACTGTGCTGGCCACTCTGACTGTCAAAGAGCAGAGTAGCCAAGCCTCCTGCAATGCATTCTGGAACTTTCTGCCTTGGAAAACATTAACTCTTCAACTTTGTTCCTTTCCTCTGGGAAAAAGAATGGCCGTTGTGTTGCTCCAAAGCTGGGGAACAAAGCCTTTATCAACACGTCATCCTCCACTTCCGTTTCCTGGGCTTCTGCCAGATTGTGTCATGGCCTCACTGTCCTTGAACATTCTCATGTTTAACCTGTGGGTCACCACTTGCTCAGCATGACAAGAGAGGAGCTGTTTGCTGTCCTTACTGTCAGCTCTGAGGCTGTCCTCTGCCAAGTCAGAGGACCCGTGGTGAGCCCTCTGACGCATCTGATTCTATGGAATGCAGATGAAGTTGGGGGCGTGCACAGGCCCGTTGGCAGGGGAGCAGCAAAAATGTGCACCAAAAGCTTCAACCAACCAGGCTGGGCCAGACCCCGTCAGGCCCAGGTGGCATTTCACACTCTCAGTGTCCCCTCACCCCAGGGACTCTGTTACCCTCTGATTGCCCAGGTCCAGCTCAGGAGCTAACTCTGCTACCATCTCTGGGGATGGGGTCCTCCTTCAGTCCATGGCTCCATTTATCTACTCATCCATCCACCATCCATCTACCCACTCATCCATCCATCCACCCATCCACCAATCCACCCATCTATCCATTCATCCATCAATCCATCCATCCATCCATCCATCCATCCATCCATCCATCCTTCCTTCCTTCCATCCATCTATCCATCCATCCATCCATCCATCCATCCATCCATCCATCCTTTCTTCCTTCCTTCCTTCCATCCATCCACCCACCCATCCACCCATCCATTCATCCATCCACCCATCCTTTCACCCATCCATTCATTTATCCATCCAGCCAGCCACCCAGACACTGTCCATCTACCTACCCACATAGCTAACCATTCATCCACCTACCCATCCATCCATCTACCCACCATCCATCTACCATCCTTCCATCTTTCCACCCATTCACACATCCATCCACTCACCCATCCATCCACCCACCAATTCATTCATCATCTAATCACAATGTTTTCTTTTTTCAACACTCATTTTTAAACGAGCATTTATTAGAGATCTATGTAGCAATACTAATCTCTGCATCACAATACAAAATCTTTCTTTATAATTTATTTCATTTCTTTTACTTAATCTTCACAACAACACTAAGTATGTGGCAGAGATGGTGAGTTGCCTTGTCTTCCTGGGCACGTAGCTCTGTGGCATTTCCTAGCCACCCTTGGAGTTCTCTGCAGCCCCGTGGCTGAGGTCTGGCCAGAGGAAGGGGAGAGCAAATGAGGCCATTTCTGGGCTAAGGCTTTGAAGAACCTACTCCAGGTTCTCCTTTGCCCCTCCCCAGCTGGATGCAGGTTATGATGGGTCCCTGAGAGGGGCAGAGCCATGAGGTGACAGTGAGGGCTCACAAGTCCCTGCCGGAAGATGCTGCCCACCAATCAAGAACATCCACCAGGGAAGGTTTTACGAGCAAGAAACAAGTACCTGTGCTCTTTGAGCCAGAATGTATTTGGGGGCTTACACTTAGTGTAGCCAAACCTACTTTAGCAGAATTAGGCAGCATTACCCTCGGCACACAAAAGAGGGACCTGAGACCACAGGTCACACAGCTGGGTGGCAGGTGGCTAGGACCCCAGCCTGGTCTGCTGTAGTCACGTTCCCTCTACCAGCCCCTGAGCACCTCCTGTGCCCCAGGCCCTGTGCCAGGTGGGGACCCAGAGATGACAGGGCACTGTCCCCACCCCCAGGAGCCCTCAGCTTCATGGGGAGACACACAGAGACCTGGCCGGCTCATCTCTGCATTTCCAGTATCTTCCGCACCTGCCGTGTTATGGCCTCTGGGAAGTTTTCTGTGAAGAAAAGGAAAGAATTCCAGTGTCTTTCACGGAGTAGTCAGTGCTGAGTGACAGTTACCTGCTGTCTTACCCCTTTGTGCTGTTGCAAGGAACACCTGAGGCTCACAGCTCTGCAGGCTGCAAAGCAGCGGGCCGGCAAGGTCTCCAGGAGCCGCCACCCTGGGTCAGGTGACGGGAGCCGGTGTGCAGAGGTCACATGGAGTGGGGGTGCTAGGTTCTTGTTAATAACTAGCTCTTACAGGAATTAACAGAGGGAGAACTTACTCCCCTGCTGCAGGGAGGATTAATCCATTCACGAGGGATCCGCCGCCACCACCGAGGACATCCCAGGGGGCCCCGCCTCCAACACGGGATCAAATTGCCACAGGCGCTTGGAGGGGCAACCTCTGTGGCTCTGCTCTTTGATAGGCCGGACACTAAGTCTGTCATTTTCAATCACAGCACTCGCGTTACCAAGGACGGGGCCTTACCCGCCAGACTGGCTTCCCAGCAGGGTCATCGGGACTCTCAGACTCTCCCTGGGCTCTACCGTGTGCCGGGCTCGCTGTCTGCGAGGGCCCACAGAACCAAGCGGGGCGGGGCTGAGCAGGTGCACACAGGGCCAAGTCCCCCCCAGATGTCCTTCATGGGGGTCCCCAGATATGCTCCCAGAGGACCCGGAAGGGTCCACATTCTCACCATAAGCAGGACCCTCACACAGGGAGGTGGGCAGAGCGACAGCAGCCCCCGAGAGGAGGGCCAGAGGGTCCCACGCACCTTCCCAGGGCAGGCCTGGCCTGGCCCTGCGGCCAGGGAGCACCGCAGCACAGGCTCTTCTGGAACAGGGAGCCCAGCCCCACCCCCACCCGTCCTACTCCGCAGACCACCCAACACACGGGCGTTTATCTCCGAAGCAAGTGAGGAGTCCTGGTCTGGGCGTCCCCAAAGCCCGTCAGAGGCAGGCTCTGTGTGCGCACGTTTCCTTGGGCGGCGAGGAGAGCGGCGTGGGGCGTGGGGAGGAGAGGGCGGCGGGAGGGGGCGGGGTCCCGCTCGGCGCCCTGCTGCGATTCCCCGCGGCTGCTGCAGCGAAGCACCCCGACTGGACGGCTGGGAACAGCAGCTCTGCCCTCTCCACTCCCAGAGGCCGGAAGTCCCAGATGAAGGTGCCTGGGCCCGCTCCACTCAGCAACCCCAACCCCGTGACCCCACGGCGCCAGCCGCGAGGCCCACACGCTGGGGATGAAGTCACGGAGGGGCCTGGCGCCAGCATGGATTTCCGAACATCAAGGTGCAATTTTTGGAAAGGTCATAAAACATTTAAGCAATTGACGGAGGGAAAATATTGAAGATTTCGTCAGCAATTTCTCGCCTATTTCACTTACGTTAACTTTTTAATTAAAATCGACTGCTCGAGGCTTTCCAGTGGAAGGAAGTTTCACTTCCTCTCCTGGAGGGAGTGCACAGGGGACTCCTGACCCAGAGAACCTTCTGGAGAGGAGGGGATAGGGCCAGAGGTCAAAGGGGGCCAGGTGTGGACCACGGGTGCTGCCAGCCTGGAGCAGGTGAGCCCTGGGGCGGGTGGGCGCGGTTGGGGAGGGTCCTCCCGCCCACCGTCAGGGGCTGTCTCAGCTCCCCTCAGCCAGCCGGCCTGCCGCAGAGCACTGTCTCCCGCCCTCACCGGTGGGGTGACAGGTGAATCCTCCCTTCCCCACGTCTTCAACTCCAGTGACTTGTGTAGGTCTCCGCTCAGTGCTGACCTCACTGCAGCATGCCTCCCCTCAAGAGCCTGCGATGGCTCCCCATTGTTCAGGATGAACTCCCAGCTCCTTAGCATGGTTCTGCCCCTTGGGAGGTGTGTGACCCCAGGTACTTTACTCAACCTCTTGGTGCCTCAGTTTCCTCTTCTGTAAGATAGGACTAATGATAGACCCACTCAAAGGACTGGGTAAGAGTGAGGGGAGCTTGTTCGTGAGCAGGCCCAGCAGGGGCCCAACACAGGCTACAAGCAGCCCCATGACCTTGGCCTCGTCACTGGCATGGCCTGGTGCTCACGGAGCCCTGCACCTGATGCCACCGTCCCCAAAGCACCTAACAGGTCCCCAACCCCCCGTGCCCCAGCCACCACACTTGAAGCCCACTGCTCCCTCCCCTGGCACTCTCCCCCTGCCCCCGGCCTGGCCCAGGCTGTACCAACTACAGCACAGAGGTCAGGGAGCGAGGAGCGGGAGGGGAGGGAGACAGGAGACAGAGACATGCAGAGACAGATGCAGAGAGATAGGGAAACCAAGTTGCAGGGACAAGAGGCACACAGATATGCAGAGACAGAGAGACACAGAGAGATAGAGACAAGACACAGGGCCAGGGGAGACAGGACGAGACAGAGGCACTTGGCTGCAGAGGGGTCCTTGCCTGGCCTGCCGCCCGCGCCGCCCAGGGCTGTGCAGCCTTAAACTCAGGGAGGCCACGTCCCATGGGGCCAGAGCCCTGGGCATCAGACAAGAGTGATTGTGGCACAAGGGGGGTGGGGAGGCGCAGCTGTGGGGCCAGGCCCTTGACACAAAATGCCCCCTGCAGGCTGCACCCGGCCTCACCTGCCCGGGACGGGGCAGTGGGCTCCGTGGGGGCACCACGTGGCTGTGGTGACTGGGATGAGCCTGGCGAAGCCCTCAGGCAGGAGGTGGGAGCTGGGTCCTGGCCTACCTGGCCCCCACCTCCCGCAGCCCCTCTGTGGAGAAGCCACCCTCTTGAGTGGCAGCTCCGGTGGGCAGGAGGCCTGGTTTGCCACGGAGAACCAAGAGTCCCCGGTATGCCCGGTGGAGTGGAGACTCTCAACTGGCGCCGTACAAAGCTGCACCGAGTCGTGTCCTGGGATCCAGAGCAGGTTCCGCAGGCCCCGAGGGCAGGCTGGGGGCGGGGCTGGGGAGGGACTACAGACATGCCACCTTTGGGGCACAGGGTCCCGGTGGGGGGACACAGTGGGGGGGCTGGCCCTTACTGTCACCCACTCGGGCACAGTCACAGCTGGCAGGCTCACACAGCAAGCACCTATTTACCGCCTGCCAGCCCCGCCTGGCACGGATTCCCCTGCGCTGGGCGTGTCGTGGACGGAAGGCCGTAACTGGACACAGGCCGCACGCTGGGGAATCACGATCCCATTTTACTGACGAGGAGACTGAGGCGCAAAGGCAGCTCGGGCCAAGTCTCTCAGGCCTCCTGGGGGGCCCAGATCCCAGCCCGGCCTCTGTTTGGAGAAATGGAGGCCGAGGGCCCAGGTGCAGCTGTCCTCAGTGCAGGGAGAAGGCAGCTGCCGGAGCAGCCGGAGCAGCCGGGGCATCGGGGCCCTGCCGGCTGCACTGGGGGGCTGGCCTCCTGCCCGTGTCCTCCCTAATGGAGAAGGATGCTGCTGACCGCATGGGGGGGGGTGAGTGCCTGCCTCATGGGGAGTGGCATGTCCAAGCACCCTGCAGGGTTGTCACCACCTCCGCTCACCTGTGCTCCCAGCCGTGTGTCCTGAGTACCTGGGCTCAGCAGGCCTGCAGGTCACCCCTGGGCAGGGAGGGCAGACAGACGGGTGGAGGGTGGGTGGGCAGGAGGCCAGCTGCAGGGAGGACCTGCCCGTTCCTCTTGTCCGCAGCCTCTGAGGAGGCCGTGCTGCTCGGTCCAGGCCCAGCTCCCTGCCCTCCCGGACCACCACCCAGGGCCAGCCTGGGAGCTCGAGTGTTCACAGTGTCCCCTACACCTGCTGTGTGCCAGGCCCTGTCCTGGGGGGCTGAGATGGGCCAGATACGACCTGACCACTCAAGGGCTGTTCGGGACAGGGGTGGTGGAGCCCGAGGGGGCAGGGTGGCGCACCGCACTGCACACCCTGCGGGACATCAGATGCCACACGTAGGTTTGTCACCAGTCTCCCAGCAGACAGCTTGAGCTGTTTGGAGGGAAAGGCACCTTTTCCTAGTTTGCACAATGGCCCCAAAGGCTCTGCATCTGCCAAGGAGGCGGTGGCCCAGCCTAGGGTCGTGGGGTATTTTCTGGAGCCAGGCCCTGAATCAAAGGGGCTGGGGGTTGCTGGGCCGTTCTGCCGCCCCCAGGGCTGGGCCGTCCCACTGAGGGGTGTGGGAAGGGCCTGTGCCCTCTTTGGGGTATGAACTGGAACATTCCCCTTTGGCCTAGGCAGATCTGAGGGCTGCCCCAGGGCAGGGTCACTCTGGGACAGCTACGGCACCTCCCGGCCAGGGCCCCTCCCAACCAGGGCACTGTCTTATGTACCTGAGGGTGGCCACCCCCTTATGGGGGTCCCTGGCCTCTCCTCTCGCCCCTCGCCCCCAAGGCTTTGCACTCCCAGCCCTTCCGCCCCCATGCTGCCTCCACCCGTGGGTGTGTTTGATTTAACTGCTTTAGCGGGGCCAGGCCAACACCTTCTCGTGTGAGCGCATGCCGGGGAGGTTGACTTTGGATGGGCCACCGCCCACGAAGGACAGTCTCCAAGAGTCCCTCGGCACCTCTGGAGCCTGGCCTGGCAGGAACCTCCTCTGGGGACAGTCTGGCGGGGCAGCGAGAGTCTCAGAGGGGACAGAGTGGGGGCATGAGGGGAAGAAGACAGCCTGGGGGAGATGACACAGGGAGAAACTGAGGAAGGCGGGGGAGTGGAGTCTGGCCAGGAGGCGCAAAGCTAGACGGGCCACGTGTGGACCCAGCTGCTGCTGCTCGGAGCTACCCTGGTAACTCCTGAAGAAACTGCCCCAAAACGCGAGAAGCAGGAAAAACGTGAGCTTTGTCGTGACACCAGCCACGGGGCTGTGCTGGCACTTACTGGTCCGTGACTGAGGACAAGGTTACCTCTCAGAAGCCTGCTTTCTTTGCCATGGAGCGGGGCGTGCCACCCGCTCATCAGTGCTGCCGCTAGAATCACTTTGTTAAACCACAGATTTACTTTTTAGAACAGTTTCCTATTTACAGAAAAATTGAGAGGACAGCAGAGTCCCCCATGTGCCCCACTGGCTCCCGTTGCTGGCTCC